GTCCTCCTCGGCCCGGCCCCCGGCCCTCGCCGTCCTTCCGCGCTGATTCCCTCTCTCTCTCTCTCTCTCTCTTTTTTTTAAAGTGTGACTGAAACAAAACAAAGCCAAAGGGACGCTGGATCTATCATTGGTTGATTTTCCTCCTTCTTTTTTTTTTATGATCAAAAACAACCCCCCACCCGAGCAAACAAACACACACAAAAGCAGAAAGAAAGGGTCTTGCTCAGCAGCAGCATGGATGTCTTGGCTAGTTATAGTATATTCCAGGAACTCCAGCTTGTCCACGACACCGGCTACTTCTCAGCTTTGCCATCCTTGGAGGAAAACTGGCAGCAGGTGAATCATTTAAATTACTCCTGTAAATCTCTTAAGCGCAGACAGTCGATGCATTGGGGCTGCATTTCTGACTTTATTTTATTTTTGTTCTTTAATTCAGGGTTGGTGTTTTGGTTTTTTTTTTGGTGGTTCTTTTTTAATTTTTTTTTCCGCGTGGGTAGACCTTTAAATCTCTGTATTTTTTGCCATGACAAACTGAGCAGTCCATTCAAATCTGTCTGCCTTCAGTCCTTTCTGAGCACACCCGGCAGCACCTGAGATCCGGTGGCATTCTTCAGGGTTTTGCTTTTATGATGACTGCTATTTTTATTTTATTTTTGAGCTTAGATTTTTTTGTTTGTTTGTTCTTTTAAACAAGGCTGATCACTTCCAGCCAGTGCTGACAACTGGCAGCTGGTGGAAGCGGAATAGATCATTCTTATTTTCAGGTAATTAGTATATGTCAATAAAAATCGTAGCTTAAATCAGAGATGGGGGGTGAGCAGGTGTGTGGAAGCACTATTATAAGCTTTTAGGCTAAATTCTGTAACTAGGGAGGTGACTTATTTTTCATATTTTTTTTTTTTCCTTTTGTAGAAGGTGGGGAGAAATACACACTTCTTGCTGTATCTTAAAACAATGACGCCTTAGGCTGGTTCCAGTAAACCAGTGTGTTTTGAGGCACTGTAGGGTTAATATGCAGACAGAATTAGGATACTTTAAAGATGGAAATCGAGTCTTACGAATGCATTAAAATGATGACTGGTAGCATGAGTAAATAAGACCAAGGAGAAGAGTAGGTTACAGAGAAAAGAGTTGTATAAAGCAAACTATGAGCCCAAATGCATAGATCTATAAATAGTTGCCAGCTGGGATACTGAAGGAAAAGGAAAGACAGGATTCCTCGTTACAGCAGGACATTGTGAGACAATCCTGTTTCTTGATGTGGTTTTCTGGCAGAGGTGATATGCTGGGCAAAATTCTGGAAACTAGTGTCTCTTTAAAAGAAAAAAAAATCGCTGGTGGGTAGGAATAGTGGAGTGTGGCTGGGATGACATGTGGTGCTAATGCAGCGCGCGGACCCGTGGCACTATCGGTGTAAGAATAACGAGCCACTGGATTTCATCTTGTCAGCATTCACCTTAGTCTTGGCTAGCATAAGGGTAGCATGTGGTAGGTCTCCAGTAAGTGACAGTTAGGGACGTTCATTTAATTTTTCCTTAGAAGTGTGTGTGGGGAGAAATGCGGATGGTAGGGCTTCAGGGGAGCGCTCGGGCTGTAGCATTGTCATCCAGCTGGACCGGGGCTGGATCTTTAAAGGTTTGCCCTGGTAGAATTGTTTTGGCTTCAGCTTTGTGTGCCTATGTGCACACACAGGAGAGATTTATTGACAGCTACAGTGCGAACACATTTGGGATTTAATTTGCAAAATGACCGATCCAACTTTGCTTTATGCTCCAGGGGGAGGGGATGCTTTTTGTTATTAATATTCAGCTCGCACATCCATGATGGTCACATCTGCTTTCCTTTTATATTTTTAACATGCTAATTAAACTGAAGAGGTTAATATAATTTCATTAAAAAAATTAATTTCATAGCATAGTGGTTGCTGGATCGGTTGCATATTCAGTTGCGTATTAGTAACAGTCCAGACAGTCCAAAGCGAGATAATCTGTTGACATAGCCAGCATGCTTTAGGCAGTACTGTGTGTGATACTCTGTCTCCTGCTGCCTTCTTTTATGCGTGGAAGAGCAGCAGTTTGTTTTATACAGTACAATGGACCTACCCAAGCCCACTGTTACTATTGCGAAATTTAAACTCACACACTCCTGGTTAAACCCTACTCCACATATGTTTGAAAAGAGAAGTTGAAAATAATTTATTACATTTTCCCTGTTTCCCTTCAAATCCTCCAACTGGAGCCTGATGTTTCATAACACATCCTGTATTTACAGTTTGTTTTTATTCCCCTGTTGCTGCCCGGACTCTCCTCGCAAACAACAGGGAGCAAAACTGATGTATCGGTGGTGGGAGCAGCTGAAGCTGGCTGTACAGAGCATGCTGTCACGCAGGCTTGGCAGACCCACTGACACAGAGACCCCAATTTCATTCTTCTGAATCACTTGCGAATGTAGCTGGGTCTTGGGGATTTATTTGTTTTAGGCAAACCATAGTAACTTTGGGACAAGGTGGGGTGTGTCCACGTGTTTCTAAAGGTGTCCCTTAAAATTGTCAGGCTGCAGTCGACACACCAGGGAAGAGAGCTGACAGGGCAGTGACTGATCCCTGCAGGAAGCATCAGGATTGGGAAGCAGCAGCTTTAATTTTGAGTGAAAACACTTAAATGGGTCCTGCCTCCACTCCCATGAAGAGCTCTGTGCCATACCCGAGCTCCACAGAGGCTCCAGAGCAGTGCTTCTCCTGGCAAGCAAAGCAGTGCCCCAGGAGATTACTTGGTCTCTTAAAAGGAGGGAAGTAGTTGTGTGGGCCAAGAGCAGGCTTCCTTATCACATGGCGAGCTCCAGTTGTTTTGTGATTAGCAGCTACTAGTGCTTCATGTGGAGGGGTTAGTCCGTGGCAGTTCCTGCTCCCAGAAGTGGCGTCTACTGTGATACCATAAAAGATGTACTTGCCCCCCTGGAAAATCAGAGCATGCCTTGGGGTGAAAGTGTTGACAGAGTCCTGTCTTCCTTTTCTCTTGAGTCTGGACCACGCTTTTGTAGCTGCTGGCTGAAGACTACACAGCTGGGGCAGTTGCTCATATTTCCGATGGTGAAACACCCATCACTCACAGAGGGCACTGACAGCACAAGCAGGTTGCTAAACGCTTGCACGCAGTCAGCTGATCTCTCCCTTTTTTCCTTCCCACTGCAGGAGAAATGTGAGCAAGTTTGGTGTCTGTGCTTTTTACAATTAGCATTGGAGTTGAATGAGAGCAACCCAGCAATATGTACAAAACAAACAGATTTTGTGTAGGAAGAGATTGTCATCTCTTGGGTAGGCTTCTTTTTTAGGAGGAAAAAATACAAACAAAACCCCCCTCACTCCACCCTGGACATAGTTTACATTGTGAAAGTGGAAATACCTGAAGTGAAAGCTGGAACTGAATCCATTATGTGTTTTACGTTATTTTAAAACACATGTTGGGAAGGGAAGGCTTGGTTTTTAGGCAGCAAAAGCTTAGCTTCACTATGCCCGCTTTGGGTGTACTTCTTCAGGCAAAACACTTTTGAGGTCAGGTTTTTTTCTTGGAATGGGGAGGTCAGGATCTAATGAGTAATTCATAGCACAACTTCATCAGGAGAGAGGGAACTTTGTTTAGTCTTTGTTTAGCTTTTCTAGCAGTGTTGAGCTGCCACGGCACTGAGAGAGATTAAAGGAAGAGGTGGGCTCTGTGTATTGGAAAATGAGGCGTTCGCTGTACGTCAGCTGGCTGCTATCTCAGCATCTGTGTGTTTCTGCCTGGCTCTTCATCCTGGCTCTGATTGAACCATCCTGGTTGCTCTCTGTTCCCGTGAGCTGCCTCTGCAGTTCAGGACCAGGGCGGGGGGCGGGTGTAGATTTCAGCACCTGCGTGGCTGCTGCGGTGCAGCGGGAGGACCTCCGGTCGCATATGCTATTGCTTGGGGGTAGTAGTCTGATGTGGCATCCCTGAGATTGGAACCAGACTGCTGGGGGAGACAGCACAAGGCCGAAGGGTGCCTTGTTACTCTGCAGGGGAAGGAAGTGGGTAGGAGGCTGTTTCTGAGGGAGGTGATGGTGAGGAGTGTAGCCTGTGTAGCTGCACGTGGTCCCACTTTCAGCATGCCAGGCTGCAAAGAGGGGGAGAGCAGGGCTGAGAATTGGGAAGGGCTGGACATGGGGCTTCAGTCTGTTCTTCCTGCTGGGGCTTCACAATGTCATTTGCAGGGTCATTAAAAGATCAGCGTGCAGAAGGCATCTTTTGTAGTCAGAGGCATCGCTTCCTAGGGGTAACATTTCAGACCACCCCTATTATCCTTCTCCATAGGCCCCTTGGAGGAGTCTGGACTCAGTGTCCTTGTGTGGAGATCCTTGTGATCAGGAGACGTGTTGGGGCTCTCTCCATGTTCTGTGTGGGCCATAGGGCAGCCTCTAGCATGGCAATTCCCGTAATGTTAGAGCGCGGGAGCAGAAAGAGCAGGTCACCCTGTGTGTAGCCGATGCAGGTGTATAAAATCAGCAGGACTTAGGAGCCAAACCCTGGCTTTCTCTAAAAGAGGCAGCCTTTCCCACATGTGTCATCAGGCAGAACAGGTCTAATTGGCTGGCAGAAGTGGAATTAGCATTCTATCGTTTGCCTGATAAGCATTGCCCGATAACATTTCCTCTTGCCTTGGCTGACCTGGTTGCTCTCAGCTGCAGCAAACAATGATCCTTCCAAGGGAGATGCATGTTTCCTGTAAAGCATAGGATCAAGGAAGCCTTTGTTTCGCTCTTGACTCTGTCGTAGAGCCTTCTTTGCATATTTTTAATCAAGTCTTCAAGTCTCAGTTTTCCCCTTTCTGAGGTGACTGACAGCAACAATGCTGAGGCATGGTCTTTGCGGGGCTGGGAGGCTTTTTGACCTGTTCTGGCAAAGCGCTTTGAGATCCCTGTGCTGTGTGAGAGCAGAGTATCCCGAGGTGACTTATCTAGCAGAACTCTTACATCTTAATGCTGACTTCTATTTGGCAGACAGGGTCATTTTCAGGCCTATAGGAAAAATTTCCACTGCTACTGGAAAGCAGTAAATCACACTGGAGATCATTCCTGCCTCCCCATCATCTCCATTGTTCTAGTTTAATGGCATAGTTGGCCACTACGTAAACTAAACCATCTCTTCTAATATTGCTATTTCATCTTGGTTCCAGTCACAGTGTAACACATTTCTTAAGTGCTTATAGTACATCATGCCTCTTGAGAATAACTTGCAGAAATGGTTGACTTCCAAGAACAGCCACATGTGTAATGCAGTGTATTTCAGACTCTGAGCGCCGGTCCATTTATACCTGCAGGCTCT